CCAGGGATGTAAACGAGCAGAGTTTGAGTGAGGCCCGGGCTTGTTCATGCTTGGCTTGTTCAATTTTTATTTTGTTTGTGTCCTACTTGTGTTCAAAACAGATCGTGAATAGCCTATTTGTGTTCGACTGAATTCAAATTCATTTGTTCAAATTAAGCCAAGATTTGATTTGAATTAAAAATTCAAATAATAATTTTTATTTTAAAACATTTTCAAAGAAGGAAAATATAATAATCTCTACTTCATATAATCGGTGTGAAGCTAAAACTTTTAATTTTTTTCAACTTAATTTTTACATTTATAACGGATTATCGATTGATAATCTCTTTCCTCTCGACGTCCCAATATGAGGAAAATATAATAATCTCTACTTCATATAATCGGTGTGAATCTTAAACTTTTAATTTTTTTCAGCTTCATTTTTACATTTATAACGGAATGATAATCTCTTTCCTCTCAAAGTCCCGATGCGGGACTAAACTTAATTAAGACTTGGCGAGGAGGGGGGGCGCAAAATCTTATGTATTTACCGATGTAACACCAATCATCAATGCATGCGAGCCGCGGATGACGGATTATTAGAGAAATCTGAGGGGCATTTGGCATAGCCTTCAAGTGAATGGTGAGGCTCAAACAGGAAAAGTCTTACAGTGGATACCTAGGCATCTAGAGATCAGGACAGACGTATCAAGGGATGAAATGCTTTGAGGAGTTGAAAATAAGCATGGATTTGGAGATGCCCGAATAAGCCAACCTTTCAAACAGTAGTTGAATCCATGGGTAGGCAAGAGACAACCTGACGAATTGAAACATCTTAGTAACCAAAGAAAAAAAAATGCAAACACGGTTCTCATAATAACGATGAATGAAATGTAGCAACATAAATCGTGAAAATGAGATTGTGGATAGCAATACAAGTGTCATGTTGCTAGGCAAAAGGATGGAGTGTTGCACCCAAAATGTCAAGAGTCTAATAGTCGAAAGAATCACTACTTCACGCTCTAATCCGAATAGCATGGGACAAGTGGAATTTCGTTTGAATTAGCAATGATAACCTTGCAAGGCTAAATTCTCCCGGGTAATCGATAGCAAAGTAGCCCATCAGGAAAATGTGAAAAGAACACCCATCACGGAGTGAAATAAAACACCAAATAAAACACCAATCATCAAACACCAATCATCAATGCATGTGAGCTGCGAATGAGGGATTATTAGAGAAATCTGAAGGGCATTTGGCATAGCCTTCAAGTGAATGGCGAGACTCAAACAGGAAAAGTCCTACGGTTGATACCTACGCATCTAGAGATCAGGACAGACATATCAAGGGATGAAATGCTTTGAAAAGTTGAAAATAAGCATGGATTTGAAGATGCCCGAATAAGCCAACCTTTCGAACAGTAGCTGAATCCATGGGTAGGCAAGAGACAACCTGACGAATTGAAACATCTTAGTAGCCAGAGGAAAAAAAATGCAAACACGGTTCTCATAATAACGATGAGTGAAATGGAGCCACCTAAATGGTGAAAATGAGATTGTGGGAGAGCAATTCAAGTGTCATGTTGCTAGGTGAAACAATGGAGTGTTGCACTCAAAAAGGCAAGAGTCTAATAGCCGAAAGAATCGCTAGCTCGCACTCTAATCCGAGTAGCATGGGATAAGTGGAATCCAGTTTGAATTAGCAATGATCACCTTGCAAGGCTAAATACTACCGGATAATCGATAGCAAAGTAGTGCCACGAAGAAAATGTGAAAAGAATACCCATCACGGAGTGAAATAAAACATCAATCATCAATGCATGCGAGCCGCAAATGAGGGATTATTAGAGAAATCTGAGGGGCATTTGACATAGCCTTCAAGTGAATGGCGAGGCTCAAACAGGAAAAGTCTTATGATGGATACCTAGGCATCTAGAGACCAGGACAGACATATCAAGGGATGAAATGCTTTGAGAAGTTGAAAATAAGCATGGATTTGGAGATGCCCGAATAAGCTAACCTTTCGAACAGTAGCTGAATCCATGGGTGACAAGAGACAATCTGACGAATTGAAACATCTTAGTAGCCAGAGGAAAAAAACATGCAAACACGGTTCTCATAATAACGATGAGTGAAATGGAGCCACCTAAATCGTGAAAATGAGATTGTGGGAGAGCAATGCAAGTGCCATGTTGCTAGGCGAAACGATGGAGTGTTGCACCCAAAAAGGCAAGAGTCTAATAGCCGAAAGAATCACTAACTCACACTCTAATCCGAGTAGCATGGGACAAGTGGAATCCCGTTTGAATTAGCAATGATCACCTTGCAAGGCTAGATACTCCCTGGTAATCGATGGCAAGGTAGTCCCATGAGGAAAATGTGAAAAGAACACCCATCACGGAGTGAAATAAAACACCAATCATCAATGCATGCGAGCCGCAGATGAGGGATTATTAGAGAAATTTGAGGGGCATTTGGCATAGTCTTCAAGTGAATGGCGAGGCTCAAACAGGAAAAGTCTTACGGTGGATAGCAATGATCACCTTGCAGGGGTAAATACTCCCGGGTAATCGATAGCAAGGTAATCCCATGAGGAAAATGTGAAAAGAACACCATCACGGAGTGAAATAAAACACCAATCATCAATGCATGTGAGCCGCAGATGAGGGATTATTAGAGAAATTTGAGGGGCATTTGGTATAGCCTTCAAGTGAATGGCGATGCTCAAACAGGAAAAGTTTTACGGTAGATATCTAGGCATCCAGAGATTAGGACAGACGTATCAAGGGATGAACTGCTTTGAGGAGTTGAAAATAAACATGGATTTGGAGATGCCCGAATAAGCCAACATTTCGAGCAGTAGCTGAATCCATGGCTATGCAAGAGACAACCTGACGAATTGAAACATCTTAGTAGCCAAAGGAAAAAAAATGCAAACATGGTTCTCATAATAATGATGAGTAAAATGGACCAACCTAATTCGTGAAAATGAGATTGTGGGAGAGCAATACAAGCTTTATGTTGCTAGGCGAAACAATGGAGTGTTGCACCCAAAATGGCAAGAGTCCAATAGCCGAAAGAATCACTAGCTCATAGGAGTGTAAACGAACCGAGCACGAACGAACAAAGCTTGTGTTCGTGTTCGGTTCGTTTGAAATTTAGTTTATTTAAACTAAGCTCGTGTTCGAAATTGTTCGTGAAATCACTGTTCGTGTTCGTTTCTTTACGAACGAGTCGAACACGAGCTGTTCGTGAACGACGAGCCAATTTGACATCCCTAATATTAATATATATAAATAATATATATTAATTATATAAATATATAATATCTATAGTAGTATATTATTAATATAGTATATTAATATATTATTTTTATTAATTTATTATATATTATAATTTATAAAATTTAATTTTTTAAAATATCATAAATCTCTTTATGGTTGGTTCGTTTAATTAACCGAATGAAAAAAATTTGTTCATGTTCGTCTCATTTACTTATCGAATGAATCGAACACAAACTCATTTACACACCGAACACGAACAATTCGCGAACAACGAGCTTTTTTGACAGCCCTACTAGCTCACGCTCTAATCCAAGTAGCATGGGACAACTGGAATCCCGTTTGAATTAGCAATGATCACCTTCCAAGGCTAAATACTCCCGAGTAATCGATAACAAAGTAGTCTCATGAGGAAAATGTGAAAAGAACACCCATCACAGAGTGAAATAAAACACCAATCATCAATGCATGCGAGCCACAGATGAGGGTTATTAGAGAAATCTGAGGGGCATTTGGTATAGCCTTCAAGTGAATGGCGAGGCTCAAACAGGAAAAGTCTTACGGTGGATACCTAGGCATCTAGAGATCAGGACAGATGTATCAAGGGATGAAATACTTTAAGGAGTTGAAAATAAACATGGATTTGGAGATGCACGAATAAGCCAACCTTTCGAACAGTAGTTGAATCCATGGCTGGGCAAGAGACAACCAGACGAATTGAAACGTCTTAGTAGCCAGAGGAAAAAAAATGCAAGCACGGTTCTCATAATAACGATGAGTGAAATGGAGCAACCTAAATCGTGAAAATAAGATCGTGGGAGAGCAATACAAGCGTCATGTTGCTAGGTGAAATGATGGAGGGTTGCACCCAAAATGGCAAGAGTCTAATAGCCGAAAGAATCACTAGCTCACGCTCTAATCCGAGTAGCATGGGACAAGTGGAATCCCGTTTGAATTAGCAATGATCACGTTGCAAGGCTAAATACTCCCAGGTAATTGATAGCAAAGTAGTCCCATTAGGAAAGTGTGAAAAGAACAGCAGTGGGAGGAGAAATGTGGTCTTTGACCACATGCTTAGGCCAGAACTTCTCGACAGTGGCATGGTCGGAGCGAAATAAAACATGAAACCATGAGCTCCCAAGCAGTGGGAGGAGAATGTGGTCTTTGACCACATTCTTAGGCCAAAACTTCTCGGCAGTGGCATGGTTAAGGGAATCCACTATAGTCATAGCGAAAGAGAGTTCATCGGGTGATTGACATTGCTTATGAATCTAAACCTGGGTGATCTATCCATGATCAGGATGAAGCTTGGGTAAAAGTTTAAATGGAGGTTCTAACTGACTGATGTTGAAGAATCAATGGATGAGTGATGGTTAGGAGTGAAATGTCACTCGAATCTAAAGCTAGTTGGCTCTCCCTAAAATGCGTTGAGGCAAACAGTTGACTGGACACATTGGGGTAAAGTACTGCTTCGTTGCGGGCCGCGAGAGATGTACCAAATCGAGGCAAACTCTGAATACTAAATGGTTTTACGACTTCTTACCCTGAAAAAGCAAGCTCAGCATCTCAAGCAAAATTGTCATATAATCTGGTTTTCGTTGTGTGGTTAGTTACAGTGCTGAATTATTATTGTAATAATGAGAGTCTAACTGAAATAACAAGAAATGCGATGATTTGAAGCATGAGAAGGCCCGCTGATTATTTAAACTGAAAATAACAGCAGACAAGGATAGATCAACTCACAACGGCGTCAATCAATCAGCTTGGGAACCCTACGCCTGTGCACATAACCCATTGGTAAATCCCTTACCTCCACCAAAGAAGGGTTCGTTCGATTCCTACAGAAAAACAAGGGGAAATATTACACCAACATAACATTCCACCCATATAATCACAAATATATGAATCTATACAAAATGCACCCAATAATCGGAAAAGAAAATCAAATAACCCGTACCTCAGAAACTCATTCAAAAAATAGATTCTAGTTTCCACAGAATATAAAAAATGAAGTCCAAACTCATGAAATTTAGGGTTAATGCACCTCATACTCCGCATTTCCAAAACCTAAATGCAGTCACAACAAGCAAGCATTAATCTCCTGTCACCATGAATACTAATACAATGACATAACAAGAACCAAGACTTCCTTTGATTTCGGTTCCTGCACCCTAGGAAGAGCAGCGTCGACAACTGCACTCGCGGATATCCTCATTGATGGATTGTAAAGATAGAAGGAAGATAAAGTGACAACATCCATCGCTAGCTGCTTTCGACTCTCCATGTCAGGCGAAGTGGAGAGGGGAACGCGGGTTTCCAACTCGCTCCCCAAAGAATTATCTTCCGGAGCAGTATCACAGCAAAATATTATATATATAAAGTTCAATTGCATAGATACCATTGTATTTACATATCTAACACCTGAATTTTATTTCTTTACACTAGTACCACTATAATTGTTCTATATCATAAAAAATATGATTATTTTAACATTCAAAAAGTAAAATACTCATTTAATGCATAAGGCATTATGCATATAAAGATTGAAGTTTAGTTGTTAAAATGTGAGGACATAAAAATTAAGTGATATATATGTACATTTTTGTAAATAAAATATTCACCCTCGGGTTAAGATTTATGTAAATCTTTCGATGTATGAATACGTGGTTCATGGGATGTCATTCATTTTAGATGGTTCAATTTTTAAATTGATCAAATTAATTGCAACTGAAATCTGACATTCGAAAGATTAAACCTGACAAAATTTCAATAAAATTGTACCAACTGAAACTAAGCTTACTTCCGCTCAAATAGTTTAGCTATGAACAAATATATACGTAGTTGTTAGCTAGAGCTTGGTTTTGAACAAATATTAAGAATTACATATCTCACATGTATGATATCGATTTGATTTTTTGAATCTTCCATTTAATTTCTATTTTCGATTTTTCCGCTTGTTCGGTTAAATGAAGAGTAAAACATAACTAAAAATTGAAAACAAACAATCAAATATTGAGATTTAGATTCAAATTTTTTTTATTTTGACCACATAATACACTTCTAAACACATAGATATGAGTTTTAAGGTGAGTTTGAGGTTTTAAAAGTTAATAATAATGATATATGTATTATAGTATGAAGGATTTAAGTGTTATGAATATAAAAAAAAATTAAAATTTAGATATTAGGTTTGTAAATACATAGAAACTGTGTATAAAAAAATGCAATTTTTATTAATCAATTTATTGCATAAAAATGCAATTTTTATTTTATTTTATTTTTTTTTTTTTGGGAGAAGTTTCTAATAATCAATGTATCGTATCTCTGTCCGTGAGTTGTTCGATCTCAACTAAATTATGTAACAAAAAATCCTAAATTAAATGCATAAAAAAACATAATTCATTAAATTATCACAGAAATAACAGTCCTATTTATATTCAGGTCTGAAATCCCATGTTTCTTCCTCTTTCGTGCTTCCAACCTTCCTCCTCCCCTACAATTGCGGCCAAACGCCAAACTCATCCGTAACAGGTAACGCCGAGCCGATCTCTCATCCCCATTGTCCATCCTACCATCTCCATGTCTTCTCCTTCCCTTCTCTCCTCCATCTAACCCCTCGCCGCGCGCCCCCACCATGATCGGAGGGGAGAAACATGGGCCAGCATCGGGCATCCACCTGACGCCCATTTTCTCCCTCTTCCTCCTCCTCCTCCTCCACCTTCCTCTCTCCCTCACCTCCAACAACCCTAAAAATCCCGCCTTTACCCCTTCCGACATCTACCTCCTCGACTGCGGCGCCCCTAAAAGCCTCCAACTTTCCGACGGCCGCACCTTCCGCTCAGAGCCCCAATCCTCCTCCTTCCTCTCCACCGACGAGGACATCCGCCTCTCATCCACCTCTCCCATCCCTTCCCTCTCCCCTCTCTACCACACCGCACGCGTCTTCTCCTCAACCTCCAGCTACTCCTTTTTCATCACCAAACTCGGCCTCCATTTCATCCGCCTACACTTCTTCCCCTTCCCTTCCCCTTCCTACAACCTCTCCTCCGCCATCTTCACCGTCAACACCGAAGATTTCGTCCTCCTTCGCGACTTCTCCGTACCATCCCCTGCCTCCCCTGTTCTCAAAGAATACCTCATCAACGTCGACAACGAACGCCTTTCCCTCACTTTCAAACCCCAAAAAGGCTCCTTTGCCTTCCTCAACGCCGTCGAAGTTGTCTCCGCGCCGGAATCTCTCATCCCCAACTCCGCCGCTAGCATCAGTCCCCAAGAGCAGTTCAGCGGGATTAACAACTATGCGCTCGAGGTCATCAGTCGAATTAACGTCGGCGGGGAGAAGATTTCATCTGAGAATGACACGTTGGCGAGAGAATGGCTTCCGGATTCATTTTTGAAGCCGCCGGAGACGGCGGAGAAGGTGGCCATAGCGCCGGAGAAGGTTAAGTATCCCGAAGATGGCACGGTGACGCAGCTTATTGCGCCGAGAAGCGTTTACGCGACGGCAGATAGCATGAGGGATGCGAATGTATCGGAGCCGATGTTTAATATAACGTGGGAGATCCCGGCGGACGGCGGCGGATATTCGTACCTCGTTCGACTCCATTTCTGTGACATTGTTAGCAGGAGTCTTAATACGCTATACTTCAACGTTTTCATTAACAGGATGCTGGCTATTCCCAACCTCGATCTTTCATCTCTAACAGGTATTACAACAATACCCAATTACCTTTTTATTTTTTAATGATGCAAATTTTATTGAAGTTCTGCAATTGTGAGTCAAGCATATTATAATATATTTGATTCAACATTAATATATTGACAATCCTCCCTTTTTAAAAGGGAGATTTACATACCTACCATACAATTCCTAAGTTTAAATACATCAACCACCTAAACTTAACTTCAATTTTTAACTTAAAAACCATCCTAGCTGTGCTGAAAACATAGGAATCAGGTCGGTTTGTATGTAAAAATTAAAGTTTGGGCTGTTGATCTGTCAGAATTGGGTAAAAACTATTTCAGAAGAGACCTATGCGTTAGATTGCTTGTTGTGCAAATATCTAAATTTTGACTTTTATGTTGATTCAAGTTTTAGTCCTTGATATTATTCATTATAGACGTTCATTGCACCGAAGATAATTATATATTGTGGATGAAGCTCAAATAGTATAGGAGAGGAACTAAATTTAAGTTGGATTTTAACAAAAGGGTTTTTTGGTTTGCTGAAAAAGGAATGTGGTGTAAAAAGATTGCAGGATATTTTGATTGTAGTGTATTCTAAAAATGTAGAAATTGTTTGATTGTTTGTGAAGTAAATAGAGTGAAATTACTTTTTGTTTGTTTAGATTTCAGAAAAGTCTGACTAAATTTCAGCGAAGAGAATGCCAACTAAATTTAAAAGAGACAATTTTGAGAAATATAGAGATGTTATTAGAATCTTTTGAGGAACTTTTTGTGTGAGACTGATGAAACAAAATTTTTACCAAAATGTTTGACATTACATTTGTTCTTATTTGATTAAAACTCTATATTTATAAGGAATAATTAGTATTGCATTATATAATTGACTACATGATAAGATTATATCGATTGAACTTGATTTGTTACTTATATGGCAGATGAGTTGGACTTATATAATCTATGCTATTTAAGAATTATTTGGCCTGTGCTTCCAAGTTCTTATAGGGGAACTTCGTTAGTTGACTGTACAATGAGATTATTGTTATATCCTAAATTGTTCTTGGACTCACACAATCTAGATAAGCGTGATCGAGAGAAAGACAAAAAAATAGATTAACAAAGAGTGTATAGAGAGAAAAGCTCTGGAATTTTATTACTCAAAGGACATCGAATACAAAGAGTGTATCATTAGGTATATCTGATTGAGTCTCCGTTGTCTCAAACTTGATCTTTTATTTGTAGGTTTGGATTGATCTTGGTTATACAATATAATGGGCTACATGAAAATAAAAGATAAAAATACATGAATGCCGTAACAACTCCTTTGGCCTTATAGAGGACACTTGTCAAGTGAGTTTTCATGTTAAGAGTTATAAAATTGACAAGCTGTTGAACCAAGGTGCCATGAGTATAGTTAACAATGTAGCAAATAGTAATTGTAAAAGCAAATGATATTCCATGCAATAAGAAAAAAAAAATACAAATAAAAATCTACAATAAGGCCTTACTATACAAAATTTGATGGAGAATTTATTCACTAGAGACAGAGAGAAGTGTTGCACTCATGTAGGAGTATTAAAGTAGTATGATTACACATAATCAAAGGTTGTTAACAAATAAAGGATGAATGTGCAATATGTAGTCATAGAATGATAAGGCAGATGATGCCACCTGAGATGCAAATGGAAGGGGAGAATATAACAACCAAAATTAATGATTTAAAATCTCCCCCCTAAGCTGATGATTCGAACGAATTGCCAATTGTTCACGAAGAAAGGAAAATCGAGAGATAGAGTGAACCTTAGTAAAATTCTCAACAACCTAACCTTGGCAAGTGATGTGATAATTAATAATTTCTTTTAATATGATACATACAATTCCGAATAAAGTGATATTCAACCTCAATATTTTGACTAAACATAAAAAAAAATTAAGCTATTAGCGAGACTCAACGTGAAAAGATTATCACAATATAAATATGTCAGCTCAATGCGCTTGCTGAACTGCAATCATAAAGTATGTCAAATCGAGAGAGGTAGTAAAACAATGAGGCGGAGTAAAGATCTTCTTTGGTTTTAGTGTCACTATTTAAAACTTGATAACTATATGATAAGTAATGTGTATGGAGGAGGTGAAGATGCTGTAGAAATAGGCATAGGCATTGAGGGGATGATATCTAGGAAAGAGTAATAAGAATGTTGAGGACCACATAACTGAGTGGAAGAATGAGAAAGTAGAGAGATAGCTGGTGGGTTGTGTAGCGATGAAATAAGAGCAAGTGGTGGATTGTAAGAGAGAGTGTATGAAAAAATAAGGGAAGGATCCCACACATCAAAATGATGATCTCAGAGGGAACAAGATATCTTGAGATAGAAGTAGTAAAGAGTTTTATGTGACCTTTTGCTATATTGCCGAGATTACATGAAAAGTTAGAAGAAGAAAACATATTGTAGGACCTCAGTCTGCTAAAGTAGAAAGAATAGTATTGTGAGGATGTCCTAAACGACAATGCCAAGTAGGGGTGTTGTGTGGTGGAAGCCAACACATGTTGTTTGCAAGTTGAAGATTATGAACGTGGTCGAACAAGGTAAAGTCCATCATGACTGGTCCCAAGAAGAGGGCTTGATTTGTCTTCCACTCCTTTATAGAGTAATCACTTCATCAAAGGAAAGGAAACAAGAGTTCTTTCAAGTTAAACAAACATCAAATTATGTGAGATTTGTGGAGCGTGAAGAAGGGGGGATAAGCAAAACTTACAGTGAGAATTAGGTAGCCTTTGCCAATATGAGCAATTGTGAGAGCTTGATCACTCTCAACAATGACTTGTTGATTGCCATGATAAACTTATGGCAATAAAAATTATGTAAAAGCATTGATAATGTGTGAAGTAGCGCTAGAATCAAAATACCAGCTATTTGACAGTGATGAAGCATCAACCAGTAATGCATGACAAGTAGCATTGTGATTATATTGTAACTTTGTGCGATGCCAACATGTGAATGTTATATAACAGTTTGCCACATGATTGAATTCTTAAACAGTTGTAGTCTATAAACAAGAATAAATTTTTTGAGCTCACTCACTGTCTCGGCCTTGCAGGTGGGAACCTCGCCATGGCCTACTACAAAGACTTCGTCGTCGCCGGAACCACTCTCATCTCCAGCAGCATCTCCCTCCAAATCAGCCCACCAGTGATGAATGACATCGGTCTTCCCAATGCCATACTCAACGGCATTGAGGTCATGAAGATGAGCAATAGCGCCGGCAGCCTTGACGGCCCATATTCCGTCGACGGCTCTTACCACAGCGATGGAGCCACCGGCAACTTAAAAGGAAAGGTCGTGGTAGCCATCTTCGGTTTCGCTATGGGAGCAACAGCATTGGCGCTGGTGACGATTATGTTCCTTCGATGGCGGCGGCGGCCAGAGGATTGGAGGAAGAAGCATAGCTTCTCATCTTGGTTGTTGCCACTACATGTTAGCCATTCAGGCCGGCCGGGTTTTTTGAGAAAGTGGAGTGGGAAGGGGAGCTCCTCCTCTTCAAAGAATGGAAAGGGTTTTGAGTCGCGCAAGAGCAAGGGCGGGTATACAAGTTATCTCACAACGGGCGGGCTTGGCCTTGGGAGGTAATTTTTCAAACTTTTTTCTTTTTTTTTTCAATATATTTTAGGAAATTATATATTTAAAACGGGCTGTTTACATACATGGCACCCAACATCTTGCTAATTACAAATATAGCACCCTATTTCATCCAATTTTTTAAATTCTTGCTAGAATATCAAAATTTATGATAAAATCCGAACCAATATTTTTCATTTTTATCAAATCATCAATGATTTGATAGTGGCACGTGCAAGTACATCGGTTAGTTAGTTTAAAAATATCACATCGGTGCTGGATTTTGTAAATAACAATATTTCAGACGCTATGCATGTAATTATCCCTAAAAATTTGATATTTATATTTTGTATCATAATGATATCAAAATGATAAAATCTAGGAAAATTTACATACATAGCATGCAATTCTTATGGCTCTACCTATCTCCCACCCAGAGTTTCATTTTTACACACATAACACTTTACCTAAGGGATGAAAAGATGAGTTTGACTATTAAAAATGTGATAATAAGTGCTATTTATGTAAAAGCCCCTAAAATCTATACATGAAAATAAGTATTTCACTCTTAAAAGATTAATATATATATAAATGTTAGAATTTTAAATGTTATGCATGTAAAAATTAAAATTCTGATATTAGAAATGTAACATATACATTTTTATAGAAACTAAATTTATAAAAATTAAACCACAATATTCTTATAAAACCTCAAACAAAATGAATTTACATTCATTATTTTTTACATAGATTAAGTACACATAATCTCAAAATAAATTCAATGACTATGATTTTATTTTCATTGTAAAAATAATGTAATTTAAAATTTCCTCACCAAATTTATTTTGGGAAATAAATAGTTTATTCGTGCGAAATAAATGCTATTAAAATTTAATTTAAAATATTATGATTAATCAATTGCTTTTTATGAAACAAAATAATAATAAAATTGGTCCCACCAGATTCTTCACGTTCGCGGAGGTCCAGCAGGCCACCTGCAACTTCGACGACAAGAACGTGATTGGCGTGGGAGGCTTCGGAAAAGTCTATCTGGGCATCCTGGACGACGGCACCAAGCTGGCCGTTAAGCGCGGCAATCCTTCCTCCGATCAAGGAATCAATGAGTTCCATACGGAGATCGAGATGCTGTCCAAGCTCCGCCACCGCCACCTCGTCTCTCTCATCGGCTGCTGCGACGAGAACAATGAGATGATTCTTGTGTACGAGTACATGTCCAACGGACCGCTTCGCGATCATCTCTACCCTTCTTCTCCCACCCTGATTCCACTTTCGTGGAAGCAGCGCCTCGAGATCTGCATCGGGGCCGCCCGCGGCCTCCATTACCTCCACACCGGCGCCGCCCAGGTAAGCCAGCCCAATTTCTGCTTTTTAGATATGTAGAAGGAAAAAAAAAATTATTTGAATTATGTAGGGGGAAAAAAAACTGAAAAAATATATGTAAAAGTGGCTTTGGATGCATGATATAAATATTTTAAGTATTTAATTATATAACCATAACACATAAATATTTATATTTGTTTGCATAATATCTTAGTTTTTAAAAAATATAACAAATAACACTAATATTAATTGATCTAAAATAAAAATATATATTTTCATGACATATTTTTTGTGTAATTTAAGTAGTATAAAGAACGGTTGAGAATACGAAGTTTTTTTTTTAGAGTAAACTTTTAAACGATCATTCAACGCTAAGCAAGAGAATCCGCGTTTTTAAACTCGGAATAGGTCAAAGCTCAGGAGATGGTCCCCTACTCAGTAGCAGTAAGATCCGCCAAGGGTAAGGCGTGAATCGTGCTGGCAGCGAGTCTCGTTGGATACTCCGCACAGACTGTGACAAGATCTATTAGAGCTTACGAGAGGGAAGATTTGGTCGGGGCAGCAGACTGACTAGACAGACAAGACACGAGCCCTGTAAGACTTGAGTCAACCAACAAGTGAGCCACAGTTCGCCTAACGAAACGGGTCGACTCATCAATCGATCTTCTGATTAAAGTGATAGATCCCATAGAACCAACAAACCACATCTTTTGTCAAGACGACCGACTTATTTACACCAACCGATTACCCTATCTTGACAGAGACAAATTTCGATTGCCCGACCGACGTGATCGACCACCCACAGGCTGACAACATTCAAGCTCATAAATCATTATAAATCATTATTTTTGTCAACATTATGACAATCATTAATTCAAATTATACACATTAATTATATTTAGGAGCGGTTGTCATAATAGTTCTCACCTCCCTTAATTGTACTAATTAGACCCTTTAAATAGGCGGTCCTAAGAAGAATAAAGACTGGCTTTTTCCTTGAGTGGGGAAAATTTTCGTGTGTTCTTACTCTCTCACTCTCTCTCTCTCTCTCTCTCTCTCTCTCGCCTCATTCAATTCTGACTCCCGTGGCGTGCTCGCAAAAGGATAAGTTAGGATTCAACTTCTTGAAGATGGTGCGTTGAGCGTGAAACATGCAACAGACGAGAAGTGGAAAGGACTAAGAAGGAATCACTTTCTAAAGAGAAAAAAATACACATTGTGCCAAATATAAATGCTACGTAATTGGACGTCCACACACAAGTCGAGAATCTACAAACCCAAATGACCTTCATGTGGAGTAATTCGAGGTCCTCCAATCAGCAATCACCCAGATGAATGACTAGACGCCTCGATTGGAAGCAAAACCTTAAGAGGTTCATCCTTAAAGGGCCTCAGCGAAAAGACCGTCGGGTCCAGACAACCAGATCAACAACCAGCGGACAGAGAGATAAGACGAGTCATGGCATGCTGACATAACCACATCTACACAGGCGAACAGACGATGGGAAGAGGTATGCCCGCTTGCAAGAGGGGCTTTTACTTATCGAATCGAAGAGGCCTTACCTCCATCCAAGCTAAGGATCCCTTGCTTGGATTATTACTAAGGGATGACCAACCAGATCAACGACATAGCATCATTCGAGTCATCAGTTGACCTGCTCCAGATCAATGACCCCATAAATGTGTCGACTTTTCCAAACCTCCCTAAAGGAGTTGACCCTTCGATTGTTCAACGATCTGCCGATTGAAACTATCCCAAGTTACTATGAATTTAAAAGACTATTCGTCTCACACTTCTCAAACGTACAAAAATGGAGGAAGGACTCAGACACCCGGATTGACTTCAAACAAGGAGAAAATGAGAGCTTACAGGCCTACATCGCATATTTCCAAAATGAGATGTTGGAAGTTAGAGTCCTGAAGCCTGATATAGCTGTAAAAGCTTTGAAATGAGGAGTCTGAAGCAAACGATTAAAGTATTATCGAAACCTATTTAAACCCACTACTTTCACGGAGGTATTGGAGATGACAAACAGGCACATACTCATCGAAAAAGACCTCTAGGGCTCCCCGAAGGGTAAGTTGGAGTCACCTGACAATCCATCAAATGGGCGAAAAGAACAGGGTGAATCGCGGAAGGCGAAGGACAATTGATCCCTCACAGGTCACCAAAATGACAACAACTCTCGGTCCTGGGATCAACGGAGAAATGGTTGTAGGCATCTTGACCGAAACTGACGCTCTAACCAATGATGATCCAATATTACGAAAGACCATATGTTTACTGGGAAATGCAAGGTTTCACCACTCAACATGTCAATGACCGAGATGGTCCAAGCCATCCAAAACAAGGATATTTAAAATTGGCCCTACCACTGAAGGCGGCCTCGACCTTACGAGATCCGAAGAGATACTTCCAGTACCATTGTGACCATGGTCACGACACAAAGGAATGTCATCATCTTTGAAATCTGATAGAGGAGCTCATCCACGCTGGAAATCTCAAATAGTTTGTCACAGTCAGTGTGCAGTCAACGTGCACACATAGTGATATGTAAAGCTCCAGCAGAAGAACCCGCAAACGAGTTTGCCCGGTTGAGTGAGGTCTCCGGTTGAGTGAGGTCCAGTTAACGGGGATAATCCCGACCATCTTAGGGGGAGGACCTAACCATCTTTCTTGAAAAGAAACTTTTGGGAGAGGTATGCTCCGTCATCCTGTATAAACGTAACAATTGCCAATTATCTTTATAGATATAGATCTCCCACCGAAGGGGAACCCCTACAATGAAGTGATCGTTACTAGGTGTGTAGTATTCTGGTTGATATATGGAGTTTATTCAATATCATGTTCAATACGGTGTTTGATAAGATCAACCTGAAGATCAATCGGTTGACAACGCCAGCGGGTCCATTGTTCGGATTCTCCTGGGAAAGGAAGGAGGAGCTGGGCTACATCGCTCCTAGTCATTTCTTGGGGGGGGAACCAAGAAAGCAATACTGTACAGAGGATTTTTTCATGGTGGAATCTCTATCGACTGCAACGCTATCAATGGAGGCCACTCCTGAACACCTATCGGGCGATCATTTCCACCTATCATTTGGTCGTAAAGTTTCTGGGCGATGGAGAGGGTATCACAGTCCGGGGTACTTGGTGCAATCTAGAAGCTGTTATTTTCAAGCGGTCTCGAACGTTGACCACGTACCACTTTATATCCAGATGCAGAGGGAGCGGGCTCTCGAGAACAGCGAAACCGTCCTCCAAGTACCTCTGTCTGACGAAGAACTCGATGAGATCTTCTTAATTAGCAAAATTTTCGGTCCTGGGATCAACGGAGAAAAGGTTGTAGACATCTTGACCGAAACTGACGCTCTAACCAATGATGATCCAATATTACGAAAGACCATATGTTTACTGGGAAATGCAAGGTTTCACCACTCAACATGTCAATGACCGAGATGGTCCAAGCCATCCAAAACAAGGATATTTAAAATTGGCCCTACCACGACCCTACCACTGAAGACGGCCTCGACCTTACGAGATCCGAAGAGACACTTCCAGTACCATCGTGACCATGGTCACGACGCAAAGGAATGTTGTCATCTTTGAAATCTGATAGAGGATCTCATCCACGCTGGAAATCTCAAATAGTTTGTCACAGTCAACGTGCACACATAGTGATATGTAAAGCTCCAGCAGAAGAACCCGCAAACGAGTTTGCCCGGTTGAGTGAGGTCCAGTTAACAGGGATAATCCCGACCATCTTAGGGGGGGGACCTAACCATCTTGCTTGAAAAGAAATGTTTGGGAGAGGTATGCTCCTTCATCCTGTATAAACGTAACAATTTGCCAATTATCTTTATAGATATAGATCTCCCACCGAAGGGGAACCCCTACAATGAAGTGATCGTCATCACGATGCTAATCAACAACTACTAGGTGTGTAGTAATCTTGTTGATATATGGAGTTTAGTCTCATGTTCAATACGGTGTTTGATAAGACCAACCTGAAGATCAATCGGTTGACAACGCCGGCGGGTCCGTTGTTCGGATTCTCCTGGGAAAGGAAGGAGGAGCTGGGCCACATCGCTCCTAGTCATTTCTTGGGGGGAACCAAGAAAGCAATACAATACAGAGGATTTTTTCATGGTGGAATCTCTATTGACTGCAACACTATCAATGGAGGCCAATCCTGAACACCTACCGGGCGATCATTTCCACCTATCATTTGGTCGTAAAGTTTCTGGGCGATGGAGAGGGTATCACAGTCCGGGGTACTTGGTGCAATCTAGAAGCTGTTATTTTCAAGCGGTCTCGAACGTTGACCACGTACCACTTTATATCCAGATGCAGAGGGAGCGGGCTCTCGAGAACAGCGAAACCGTCCTCCAAGTACCTCTGTCTGACGAAGAACTCGATGAGATTTTCTTAATTAGCAAACTTTTTTTGCAAGGCTTAGGTACCAGTTGATACAAACACTTCGGGAGCATCAGAAAGTGTTCACTTGGACTGCAGTGGAGATGCCCGACATTTCAATCGACGTAGCATCCCACAAGCTAAACATCAACCCCTACGCTTGACCGGTCAAACAGAAAATTTGGCCGACTGCTAGAACTTTGGCTGAACCGATAGCGGCGGAGGTGCAGAAGATGCTTGACGCTGACTATATTCGCAAGGTACAATACCCAATTTGGCTCTCAAACGTTGTGATGGTCAAGAAAGCCAATGACAAGTGGTGGATGTGCGTCAAATTCACCAATCTCAACGCCGCCTGCCCGGATGATACCTACCCCCTGCCGAAGATTGACACCATTATGGACACAATGGCCGGATACTCGGTAATGAGTTCCTTTGAGGCTTACTCCGACTGCCACCAAATAAAAATGCACCCGACCGACGCTGAAAAACGACATTTATTAGCACACAAGACATATTTTATTTTAATGTAATGCCCTTCGGGCTTAAGAACACCGGGGCGACCAATCAGCGCCACATGGATGTACTTTTTTCTAATAAAAAAGGAAAAGAAGTTGAGGTGTATGTTGATGATGTTCTACTTAAGAGTAAGACAGTCAAACAACACATCAAAGACCTAAAAGAGACATTCGAAACACTAAAAAAAATTCAATATGGGATTGAAACCCTCCAAGTGCACCTTCCGAGCGTCAAATGACAAGTTTCTCGGCTTCCTGTTGACTCCTGATAGATTAAAAGCCAACTCATAAAAAATATAGTTAGTCCTAGACATACTGCTCCCTGCAGAGTACCAAGGAAGTCCAGAGATTAACCGGTCAAATCATCGGGCTTAGTCGTTTCATCCCAAAGTTAGCCAACAGGTGTGCAGTGTTCTTCAAAATGCTAAGGAAAAATCAATGTTTCAAATGGATGAACAAGTTTAAGGTGTTCAAAATCTTGAAAAGTTCCTTATTGTTACCCCCACTGCTCCAATGCTCGAAGCCAACAAAAAAGAGTTGTCACTGTGCCTCGGAGTCGGACAAGAGGTGGGAAAACAATATCCAGTCTACTGCACGAGTCGAGTGCTTCATGGCTTCGAAACCAGGTACTCGATTATGGAAAAACTAACTTTCACTTTGATTAATTTTGCTTGTAAGCTTCGATCGTATTTCTGTATGCATATGATTCGATTTATCACAAACCATCCGTTGAAATACGTGCTCACACAATCAGAGCACTCCGAACGACTGCTAAAGTGGGCGATAGAACTCAGCGAATTCAACATCACCTACATTCCGCGGACGACAGTCAAAACTAAAGCAATCGTCGACTTCCTGGCTAATTTTTCTGTGACAGAGGAGTAAAAAGGAATTTTCACCAACAATAGGACGTCGATGGAGCCTCCAATCAGGCAATAATTGGGTTGGGGCTGGCTTTGAGTAGAGAACATCTCTGTCAGTCTATCTCGGTAGAGTTTGAGCTCAACGTCACAAACAACTAGGCGGAGTATGAAGCGCTGATTGTCAGACTTCACCTAGTCTCTTGGCTCTGAGGTCCCGCAGAACCAACCAACCAGACATCTTGTTAAGACGACAGACCTTATTTACACCAAATGATTATCCTCTCTTGACAGAAACAGATTTTGGTCTAGTCGACCGACATGATCGGTTTCACGCTGGTCGACCGACATGATCGGTCTCTCACCGACTGATAACATTTAAAGCTCATAAATCATTGTAAATCATTATTTTTGTCAAACTTATGACAGTCATTAATTCAAATTATACGTATTGATTATATTTAGTAGAGATTGTCATAACAATTCCCACCTCTTTTAATTGTACTAATTAGAATTTTTTAAATAGGTAGTCCAAATAGGAACAAAGATAGGCTCTCCTCTTTTTCTGAGTGGGGAAAATTTGTGTGTGTTCTATCTCTCTCTCACCTCTTTTAATTATGACTCTTTGAGTGTGTTTGTAAAAAACAAGTTAGGATATATATATATATATATTATAAAAGAATGGCCGGAGGCCATGATGGGAGCTCTTAGTCACCCTTAATGTGCCTAAACCCTCGATCCCGCGTTGCAATGCTGATGCACTCAGGCAGGCTTAAAGCCATGACCCCAAGGTACTCACAAACCAAAGAGACAGGTTAATTAGGCAGAAAGGTAGGTAGATAGATAATATAAAATGATTTTAAATATTAATTATACTTATTTTATTATGTAACACTCAAATTAATATTTAAACTACATTCATAAAAAAATATAATTAATATTTATTCATCTAGAATGAAATAGACACACGCATATGTTTTAATATTTTTTATAGGTTATGAACCTATTAGTGGCAATCATGTGGGAAAATAATTACGTGCGTGGTCCATAAATTTACATGCACTATTATATATACATATTGTACAATAATTTACAATAATATTGTAGATACATCCATTCTGTAAGTAATACCTGCTACTCATCCTCCTCCTCTCTCAGGGCATCATCCACCGAGACGTGAAGACCACCAACATCCTCATGGACGAAAATCTCGTCGCCAAAATGTCAGACTTCGGTCTCTCCAAAGCCGGCCCTTCCTCTCTCGACCAAACCCACGTCAGCACCGCCGTCAAAGGCAGCTTCGGCTATCTCGACCCCGAGTACTTCCGGCGGCAGCAGCTCACCGATAAGTCCGACGTCTATTCCTTCGGCGTGGTGATGTTCGAGGTGCTCTGCGCGAGGCCGGCGATCAATCCGGCGCTGCCCAGAGATCAGGTGAACTTAGCCGAATGGGCTCTGCACTGTCATAGAAAGGGAAAGGTTCAGATGATCATGGACCCGCATTTGGTCGGCCGCGTCGGGCCGCCTTCGTTGAACAAGTTCGTTGAGGCGGCGGAGAAGTGCCTGGAGGATTCCGGCGTTGATCGGCCGACGATGGGGGATGTGCTGTGGAACCTCGAGTACGCGTTGCAGTTACAGGTAGTTTGACTCTACTTAATCAATTAATTTAGTGTCTATTTTAAAATCATTTTTGATAAAAATTGTATATGTAATCTCTAATATTGAGATTTTTATAGTTACGTGGGAGGATAAATTCATCTTTTGACTCTGTTGAAATATCATTTTTGTCTCTTTTGAAATATCACTTTGTTCTTTGTTGTCCTAATCCCTTCTACATTGGATCTATGTCATTGGGTGGCAAGTTGGTAGTAAGTTATGTTGTCAGTCGTAAGATCCTTCTGACCCTGGTTCAATCCCTACGGGGATGTACAGCAGGTAGAGGGGGCAGTATTTTCAAATACCAATTTATATATATATATATATAACTCTTTTCATGAATATCATACTTAATTTTGGTTTCTTGCGCCCGGCTACAGGAAGCGTGGACGGGGCAGGCGAACGAGGACGACGACCGATCTGACATCGTCAACGCCGGCGAAATCCAATTACAGCAGCTCGACGACCGACAAAGAATGGAAAGAGGGTTCGAAGATGAAGTTACAGCCGGCGATTCCTCCACCACGACGGGGCCGCCGCCACTCTTCCAGGGGCGGTGAACGAAAGAGCACTACGAATCTGTGATGAAAGAAAAAAAAAATGATGCCTTTTATAATCTGCATCTAGTCTTTTGCATTGTAAAAAAGATGAGAATTTTATTATGTGGTGAGAAGTGAAAGCTATTGACATTTGGTTTTTTTTTTTTTTTTTTTGATCATTTTGATATTTATATTGAGTTAGGATATTGTATTCTTCTGTAATGATATGAAGAAAAGATTTCAGGGAAATTTATTTAAATTATTTTTGTATTTTATATTTTATTAAGACAAGCATTAAATTATAAGGCAGGCAAATGCAATTTTTTGGAGTGTTTCCTAATTAGCCCCCTTGCATAATGCATATTGTTTTTAAATTTGATGGGATTTGACTCAAAATGGCTTAAAAGGGTTCAAATGAATCCAATCCTCAAACTGATTCAATTGTATCAATCAAAGTTCAATATGCTCCTAAGGGAGTTGGGGCAGAAAAATACATTTTTTCTTAGAAGGAATTTTAAGATAAGCTTAATTGATCCTTAGCGGGCCTTCTGGTCAAGGGGTTTGACTGGATCTTTAGATGAGCTTGGATGGGTCCAAACTTTATGCTGAGATCATTAGCTTCATTTGAAGCCGACTGGTACCAAGTTTTATTTGGATACGCTTTGATTAAATGGGCCCTTAGTGGGTTTATTAAATTTAGTTGAGCAACAGATCTGAGGCCTTCATTTGAGTAAAAAATGATGTCTAGTGGTTTCTACATATGTTATGGTCGTCATAAGTTAAAATTTAGGGAAAATGAGATAGTTGACTTTTGGGTGGAACCCACAAGTCAATCGGGTTGATTTGGTCAAATAGAGTTGATCAAGCCTCCTAGGTTCAAGGAATAGCTTAGGGAAGGGTTTAAAGTCACTAGGGAAGGTCTTAATTAAGCATTTGACTTAATTTTGAGCAATTTAGGTCTAGAGGTCCTATATAATATTTGAGGGTTGACTTGAATCTAATTAAGTTTGGACTGGATTTAAGTTCGCTTGATTGTAACATGAACTCTCCATTAGATGACGAACTGCATTACTTGAAATGTTAGGTTTAAGTTTGGGCCTAGTTTTTCACCTAGGCCAAATGCAATCACCAACAGGAGAACTATGACAAAATTATAAGTTTGCAAGTGAAAGTTAAGAATTTGATTGGTATTGTCTCCATCGCTAAAAGTAACGTCGACACCATTGTATCTATATATCGATCCAATAATGAGGAGCGAGAAAGACTGAATATACATGTGTGCTTGTTGAGGCTATAAGTACATAGTTGGGATTTAGGCAGTGCTAGCAATGAAGGACAGTGTGATCTTATTTGCTGCAAATTTGGTAGGGAATAGAGTTGCATAATGTCATGCTCCAATTTGGTTGGAATAGAAGAGTCAAGCGTCAAGTGTGTTTGTAGGTGTGATGACTCCTTCCATGGAATATATTGTTATAGATGTGGCCACAATAACTCTAGAGTGCTTTGTGACGATCGAATGTGATAGTCTCTAATAATTTCATTGGAAATGTTGATTTCTTCACTGCAAAGGTGTGAGTAAAATATTGTCTAGATTAATTAGTGCAATTTGCTTCTTTTTTTTAACAATAGCGGTTTGCTTCTTATTTCTATATTAAATGTTGTATTTGAGATGGGTAGACCATTAAAGGTGTATCTTCAATGCCAATAGTAAAGCTAACAGTGGCGATGTTGTCAACTAGCATTTTGATCTGGTTGAGGTATTGGGTCATTGCATGATTTCTCTTAGAGATATCATGCTATTTATTTTTAAGCTCTTTTTTTGGGGGAACAATTTGTAGCTTGACATTTGCTTTCGTTCATGCTCCAAATAATTGAACACCTGTTCAAATTGAGAAAATATAAGCGGATTGATGTTGTCGTGATTGAGTGCAGTGCAACTACTAGGGTTCGGATGATGATCATCCATCCAGTGCTTGTCAATCGATCACCTTATTGATTGGGCGATAGATGGCTCCATCAAGAAGTCCATCGAAGCCAAATGCCTTGAATATTTTTTAGTATTTGGGATCTATGTATTGTATAGTTGACCCATTTGGATTAACAAAAAGCCTCAAGTCGTAGCGGTTAAGCCATAAGGCTTTGGCACCATGATATATAAATTGGTTTTGGTTTAAAAATAATTCATCCTATATGAATGAATGTTAATGGTCTATTTTTCATCATTACTTTTCTTTCATTTATCATAAATCTTTATCTTTAAGAATTCCATTAACTGCAAACTAAAACAGCTGATGTGCTAATGGATGGGCTTTTCATACTAACCTAGTTATAATATTTATAATTGTCCTGCCAAATAATAATAAGAAAAAGGACAGCATAAATAACAAGCATAAATACAAAATTAAGAACATAAACCTGATTATTTATCTCTACTGCGAGCTTATATGAACATTTGCTGTCTTAATTGTTGACTTCTTCCTATAACTTCCAAGAGGCCAAGTTGTTCCTTTATAATTATAAATTATTACTAAATTCAGGTTGGAAAATACCATTGACTTTTTATATCTTGACTTCTTTGGAAAAAAAAATGAGGGATTGCCACATGGAGAATGGAGATGGTATCATCCTAATTTGATTCCAATCCCCAATTAATGACTGCAGAAGTAATGAGATCCAAATGGTTTCCTGCCAAGTCTGGAAGGCTGCTTCACTTGCCAAATGTAACACTGAGAACATAACACAAGTACTGATTGATAGAAATACAAATAACAAGGAAGACAAATTATCTATTAACAACTTCTAATTACTTGATTATCATTTTTTTCTAGAAGTCCCTTATGTATATATATGTAGAATCTTGATTTGTTCATAAATCATATCCAAAGAATAAAGCGTAAGAAAGAGGATAGAGGGAGAAAAGTAAAATTTAATGAACAATAGCACGTATTGTTTGTCTTTTATGACCTCTTGGACCTCAAATTTGGTATCTGTTGTACATTAAATGATTACCTTATTTATGGAAGAGAGAGTACAATAAAATAATATTAGATTTCAACTCCTACTTTAATGAGGGTTGTAGATGACATTCTAAGTATTTTATCTATATGAGTTGATTGCTCGGTTGTCGTTTGACCCAGTTGGCTAAGCTTGTTTGGTCTCGACTCACCTGATCGGCTTGGCTGAGTCGGTGCTGCCGGCCACGACCGTGCTTCAGGTTGGCAGAACTGAATCGATTGGCTGGGCTTTGCCGATCGGTTGATCTTGTCTAATTGTCGACCCCCAATCTCTGGATGAAGAGCTCCTATCGTCGGAGCGAGTTTAGTTATCGGGGAGAGAATGAATCACCACAACCCAATAAATAGCTCGTTCCTCAATGAGGAGAGCGTGTGGGATGACCATAAGACTCTATGATATTATCAATTTTGAGTCCCTGATGAGGAACCTCGATGACGCCCAAGGCACGGCTTGTAATGGTGAAGAACTAGATTCTTTTCTTCGGGTCAAATCCATAGGAAGGTAGATTGATGTCTTCAGCCGGCTTTCTTGCAATGATTAGCTCGAATATTTATTTGTCTCACTTTAGTCAGATTCGTTCATATTTGGATCGTTCGGTTGTTCTTTTTGTTCTTTGGCTTTTGCTAGGATGACTTTGTCTGATTGGATAAGTCGGCCCTTTGTTCTTCTGTGAGTGGGGTTTTTTTTTTTAATCTTGTTTCGTCTCTTTCAAATCATCGGATATCCTCGGCATCGATGCTAACACATTTTTCATGTATATATATATAGAATCTCGGTTATAATGCAATCTTTATGACTGTCAAATCAAGAAAAAAATATAAAATACAACAACAACAAAAAAAAATCTGGCAACTCATGAAGTTGGATCATGAACTAAAAACTCCTCCTTCGATCTATATATTTCATAGATAAGAAGACTAACTAAATGATATTTAGAGAAACACATCCCACCAATTCGAAACAAAAATACAATTTTGAAACAGGTAAAAATCTTCATCACTGCATCTGCTTTTGTTAAGAACTGTATCAATCTGTGATTTTGATCATTCCACGCGCCATTACATCTTTCATAAGCTTCAACCGTCCATGAAAAATTGGATTCTTCATCAAATGCAGCATTTTGATCAGCTTAAATCCCAATTCTTCCATAAAGTCTAGCAGCCAAATACCTTCTTCTTAGTTGCGTTTGTTGCAGCAACACATTCAGCTTCGTTTGCAGACAACACAATCACATGTTGCAAGTATGGTTTCTTCAAATTGCATTCATCAATATTCTAAATTATTCTTAGTTCTGAACTTCTCAATTCACCTTCCAACATGATTTTTAATGGCAGCTTCTCTGAAGAGTTCATCTCCAAGAGAAAGAAGAATGGTGTTGCACGCCTTTAGTTGCATGTCCTTGGCCTTTGCTTTATCCATATGATGACTATAAGTAAGCTGTTTAAAATTTTTTTAAATACTTATAATTTCCTCTGAATATTTATAAAAATATACTTTTGTCATTAATAATAATAATAATATCAATAGCTTCCATAATAATGTTTTTAATAAAGATTTATTTTTGAAATTAATAATGTATTATCATACCATTATTAAAGAGTCATCAACTTCACCTTTAGAAGATCTTTTAAAATAAAATAATAATAATAAACGCAAAGCTTAAAATAATTGTCAATGTATATATATCCATATACTTTTGATGACATTGGTTTATATTTTTATTTATTTCTATGTTGCTCATCATTCCAATTGTATTTCGATCTTATCTCAGGGGTGTGTCTATCAAACAAACTTGGATCCAAAATTATTATATTATTAAAAATATTTATTTATTTATTTATCAATTTGAATTTGAGCTAAAAATTGATTAATTAATTAAATTAAGTTTAATAAGGTGATCATATGGCATCATTTTTCTGTGCGTACTCCTGACGTAACTCTACGTGCCGCGGAGGTTATTCCTGAATTATTTTCAGGTTATTTCTGGGTTATTTTCAATAATCCCGAAATAACCCAAAAATAACCCGCGGTCTTTATTTTGGGTTATTTTCAATAATAACTCAGGAATAATCTTCGTAGCACGTAAAGCTACGTCAGGAGTCTGAACAGAAAATGTGCTCGATCGTATGACTTGAGGTCCACCG